GAGAGGACTAAACATCATCAATAATTTTGCATGTAACATTTGTGGTCACAGGATGTTGTATAGGTATGATTGTATGTACATCAATTATGATGGCAAATGAGCCACATGCAGGCAATGTGTATCTATCACAGTTCTACAGACATAATGTCTTGCTTCTGAGGTAGAAATATAATCTAGCCCTGGGGTCTCAGACCCCTCCAGAGATATGACTGGTTTCTAGCCTGTCTTTCACAAAGCAGTGTGGGAGTTAAGAAATGTAAATATAATATTACACACAGACGGTATAGCATCTCTCTATTGAGCATTTGTATGAGTAGATGTAATGGTTATTATCACATGCTGAATATAAGCAGGAAAAGCTCCAGTCTTCGTGCTAAGAACACTTGTCTCTAGAAATAGACAGGAAGGGAATTTAAAAAAAAAAGAAAAAGGATTATTCTCCCTGTGCTGGGTGTGATGTTTGTTTAGCCAGTCTTAACTTGGTTGTTTCTTTTTCAGTTAACCCCTACTACTGTATCAATGTACGCTACTAGCACAAAACAATAGGAGGCTCTATCCTAGGGGGTGGGGGGATCAGTGGGTGTAGAACTAAACATTTATCATCCTGAGATGGAATGAACTGTTGAGTACTGGGCATGTAATACATGTATATCTTTGTATTTCTCTTTACTTCACAGTTGGACAGAAATAAAAGTAAAAAAAAAAAAAAGAAAACAAAAGTTTGAAATATGTGTGTGTCATCTTAAGCACCAACGTTGACATAGATTTCCAATGCCCGGATGCCAATGGGTATTATGCTACATCTTTTTAAAAGCTTTATGGATTACTATGTCATTGTGCACTTGAATTACCTGATGTTGGTGCATCAGCACAGGTTTTTTTTTTTTTTTTTAACTAAAGTAAGAATTCTCATGAATTAATGGGATACTATAGTGCTAGGAATACAAAGTTGTAGGACTAGCAGTATAGTTCCCTCTAGTCCTTTCTCTCCCCATGCAGCCAGCCAGCCAGCCTCCCCCCCGCTCCCCTCAGCAAAAATATAGTTAAAAAAATATTTAAACACTTACCTGATTCAGCGCCGATGCCACTTAATTGTTGAGTCAGTGCTTCCCCTCCTCTGACATCATCTGACGAGGGGGACTAATGAACATGCATGGCAAGCGCTACAATTGCATGAGGCTCTACCTATATGAAAGCATTGAGTTAAAAATGTAGGACTAAGTGTGACAGGGACAGTGCACTCAGACCACTTCAATGAGGTGAAGTGGTCAGGGTGCTTATAGTGTCCCTTTAATGCCAAAATTTGAATGTCGTACAATTCTCATTTTAGCAAATAACTATTACAGTTGGGAGTATAGAGATGGTACTTGATTTACCGATGCAATGTAAGTTAATACAATCTAACAGTATGTAATAATGTTACTAAAGCATGCTTAGCATTATTATATGAATCACCAGTGTATAAATCGTTATTCACTTGGAAAATACTTGTAAAACTGTTTCTTTTTTGTTTTTATCAGTCAAACTTTACAGATCCAAGTTTTTTTTATATAGACGTAATATGCCACCCACACTCTTAATCTCTCAAGAATACAAACTACATTTTGGAACACTCCAAGGATTGTACACATTAGGTGGATTAACACATGGCTATCTCTTTAAAGAATCAATGAAAAATGTACTTTGACTTTATTTGACTTGTATGCAAATTATCCCTATTCAAATAGACTTAGCAATTGATTGTAACTCGGGAGCGATTTCCTGTGCAAACAAATATCTCATCTCTATGGGAACCCTGTTGAAAAAAAATGTTTAAAGCTGTGGTTTGTGGCTGGTGTAATTCTAGTTAAAGAAAAATAGAAAAGAAAAGGGGAATATTAATTCTCAATGAATCAGTTTGTACAATTATTAACCTTAACACATGTCTGCCAAGGACAAAATAACTTAGAGACATTGATTGATTCCTCCCCCCTCCCTTATAGACATCAACATGGACAGTATCGGTCTATTCCAGACCTGCAACATTTTATTTTCAAGTGTGACTTTTGGCAACAGTCCACAACTGAGACTCATCCTAATTAATGACTGTATTTAACTCATCCTAATTAATGATTAGTTTATGCATTTGTTCTATAACTTTGTAAGATACATTATGACTTATAGAAACATTGTTATGTGATTTAAAAGGCACTCTAAGTACAATAATCATGAGAGCTGCTGTAGTTGTTATGGTGCCAAGAGTCTACTGGAGCTACCCCATGATGAGGTGTTAAAACAAAGTGGTCATTTATTTATTTTTTATAGAGAAGCTTTCAAATGCATCTGTCTTGAATAACATGACTTAGTTTCAATATACAACATCCAGTGCACTCACTCACAAGATCCAGTGCAATCTCAAAGTTTACAGAATGTAACTTAAAAAAACAAAAAACACCTCACCTTGGGAAAAATAATGGGGGTTTAGAACAGTATATGGTCATACATTGCATAAGCCGTCCACAGGAAAAGTCATTCTAAGTTGCATTCGGGGAAACCACTTGAAGCATTCGTTGTGTTCCGCTATTTTAACTGCTTTTGTTTGAGTAGTTAATTGCAAACAGCTGAAAGTCTGTGACTTTTGAAAAGAAACCATATTGGGGGTTGAATAATTATGATTACAACTGTATATGGACTATATATTCAACTCGGTGTAACTTTTAGGTTATACATTGAAAGAAAGGAGCCAACATAGAAAATAGATTCAGAAAAAAATTAGAATGATGCATTATTCTTGGACCTCAGAAACATTCTGCTGCTGGAACTACTTCTATTACTATATGGAAACAGTTATCTAAATTTTCGGAGTATGTGAGCATAGAAGCCACATGTGAGACTGGTCTACCACCAATGGAGTCAAGTGACAGATATGGTAAATCTGGATAAAGCTAAAGGTCAACATAAGTAGGAAATCAAAAGGCTTGACGAGGAAGAATAACGTTTCTGGGATATGCTGAATCTAATATCCTAAAGTATATTTCTGTGGATATAGTCAAGCATTGATCAAACAGTTACTGCAATGACAAAAGGCCCCCAGACGTGGACAAAAAAAGTTATATCTGAAACAAACATATGGTTACAGAAATATTTGTACAGGAGAGATTTTACGAAGTTAAATCTACAGGTTTTTATTGGACTAAGTTGTCTACAGCAGTTAAGCAAAACTTACTTTCTATTGTATTACAATTGACTGATGATGCCTCGTGTCAAAGTACCCCACAAGGATTACCGCTCATTATGTGCATCGGATTTCAAAATGTGTCAGTACTGTCTTGCTTTGGTACAAATATAAATACAATTTTATTTCTTCCCTTTTCTAAAAAGCTCTTTAAGTGTACCTCAAAGGCTGCGCTACGATATGGTTTTTAGAGCTGTATCCTATATATTCATGTTATTTTCTCTGAAGGGTTTTCACTGAACCTATGGAATATATGTCCTTGTTCACAGCACCATTCCTCAACCATACCAATGCTGTATTCAGTATCTACTTGTCTTGTTTAATAAAGAGATAAAAAAAAAAATAGGTTAGTCAACACTTTATACTAATTAGTACAGCAAATTGGTAATTTAACAATGTTGTAAATAAATCTCTTAATTACTTCTGTGAATCCAAAATTAGCTATACAAAGCTATTGATTGGTTCCAGTGTATTCTTATTTATTACGCCTGTGAATTGTTCTAACCTGTCACCAAAAGACAAAAGAACTTCCACTGGAGTGTCACATGATACACTTTGGCATTAAAACGGTTTGCTACGTTGCCCATATATGGCCTTATGTGACACCTTTTACTACAATTGCCTGTACACATTACAATATAGTGTGAAATTATTAAGTCTTGCGGAATATATAAATATATTTATTTTTAAACCTTGGCATTCAAAGGGTTAATTACGCTATTACAAGTGTGTAACAAAGAGTATGCAAAGAGTTAAGAGTGAGGGAGCGATTACACTCTCTGCCAAAAGTCTGATGCCCAAAAAACTGTACCTATTCATTATCGGTGGTAGGAGTGCTGAGCAATGAAACTGAGGCAATAAAAAACATATTTTATGGTAAAATTATAAAGTACAAATCATGTTAGCAGTTTTTTTTTTCTTTCCTTATTTTAGTCCCTGAAACCCACAAGCTATAGGGAAAGTATGTTAAGTGACTGCTAGTTCCCCAACAGAAATAGAGATTTCACATGTTGTTTTTACATAAATATGCATACACTCCAGTACAGAGTTTAATGCCACACTATATTTGAAGTAAACTTGCAGAAAAACAGGCTTCGAGTGCTGTAAAAAACAATGGTGCACAGCATATGCAATACATTCACCTGGTGCTAAGCAGTTCAGCGCAAAATCCCCAGTATTTAGGTACCGTTATTCTTCTCCATCTCTGAGGAGCTGCAACATTGTATTTTTGTAGTAAGCAGTAATGGTACTAATCACACTCCTTGCGTGCCTGGTCACTCTGTAGATAGTAGTGCACTAATGGCAAACTCTCCAGCTGGTGAGAACTACACTTCCCATGATGCTCGGCAGGGCCGCCACCCCTGGGGCCCGCCTCCAAATACCACCCACAGGGTCCACCTCCAAATACCGCCCACAGGAATACACACACAGACACATACACACACACTGTTACAAAAGGACACAGATACATACTAACAGACACACATACTGAAACAGACATACACGCATACAGGCATCCATACTGACACACACATACTGAGACATACACACATATAAAGACATACAGGCATACATATTACTCCATATTGATAACGCCGTGTTGGCGAAACTTGTTTATGGATATTATTTTGCGTATTTTTATATATTATAGCATTTTTGGTTACTTTTTATTTGTGCCATTTATCTTTTTATACACACTTATTTTTTTTTAAATCTGATTTTATTGAGGAAAGTTCAATAAAAAAAGGAGACATAGAGAATGAGGCTCGCAGGCCTCCATGTAAAAGGTTGTGGTATAACATATCATGCATTATACAGCAGTCCATAATATCCAACAAATTATTGCTACAGGTAACATTTGCGGCTTTAAGGTAATGCGTAATAAGATAAGCATAAGACATGACTAGTGTATATGCGGTATGTAATTATATGGTATGAGGGTGTTTTCCCACTGGTCAGATTCGGGATGGAACCCTATATGTATCCATTGGTTACACTTCATGTTCTTATCGCGACCTCCTGTGTGATTGTATACACCGCATTTAGTCATCTAGTGTGGATCCCGTGTTCCTATGCCATGGATCGGTTAAATGGGGGGGGGGGAGGTAATTGTAGTAGAAAGTAGAAATGAAAGGGGGAGAAAGGTTTCGTAGGTCTAGAAGAGTCCTTCCTTGGGTTCCACTTTTCCTCCTCGTATCGGAGTGGGTGAGTAGTCGGTATGTGGTGTTTGGGAATTATCTAGTTGTTTTGTGGTGGATCGTGGTGAGTGTGTAAGGTAATGTAGTTTAGACCGCTGTCAGGTTACTGTCTCCCGTTATAGGCATGTCAGGGGTCTGATCTAGTATGTTGTGTCAGTCCCCTGGTCGCCCGTTGGTGTGCTGTGTCCCGTAATTTACGTTGGGATTCCAGGTACGTGTTAACCGTCCGTGTGGTTATTGAGTGGGGTTATGTAACGCCGTGCTGACGTTCGTTCAGCGCGTGTGTGTCCTGTAAAAGGTCTACGTTAACAAGGGAGTGTGTGATTCCATGTGCTTTGTCTCCCACCGGGGCAAGGTGTCCCATAGGGGGGTCATGGCCAGTAATAGGAAGGATCTGGGATCCACCCACCAGCCCTCCACTCCTTATGTGCGTGATGGAGGCCCACTATCTACCCGCTTGATACGAGAACCAGGGTCGCCACGACTTATTCATTTTTTTACCTGGCATCTTCTCTACATCCTGGACTCCAAGTAATCCTAGGTGGGGATTATACCACCAGCGCTAATGTTTAGGAGCAGTTGGTCTGCTCCTGTCTTGTGAGTACCCAATTTTATTTTATTTTATCACCAATATTTTACTCAGTGTACACTATTGGCTGTTTCTTGTTCCCTTTATCCGAGTGTTGAATATACCACTGACGGAGGAAACTCACCGTATATCCCATAAGCGGGGATTAAACCGCTGTACGCCCTTCATACTAGAGCGAGTCAAACACTCTGATAAATGTGAGTTTTATTTCAGCCTTTTATTATTTTTATCCTTTTATTCTGAAACATATTGCACTATTTGGTTCTCCACCTTTTTATCTTCTATATACGAGTGGACCCATACGGAGGATAACACAAAGTACTACTGTTCTGGACCAAGCACGGATAGATTCTACGATCCCAATAAGAACATTTTAGATAAGACTTTTCAAATTCTTCTCACTCTCCTGGACTATTTTTTATTTTCCATATCAAGTTCTCCTTAGCGCAGCCCTTATTTCTTATTCTTTCTCCTTTTTAGTGTTATTTCTAAGGGCTTTTGAGGGATTCCCTTATAGGGTTGCTGCCTACATATTAGTCAGTGCTTACTCACTGTTTTGTTTTTATACATGGTGACAGATAGACACATACTAACATACAGACACATGCATGAGGACATAAAGACACATATATACATACGCATTGACATACATACATACAGACATACTGACAGACATACAGACACTGACATCCATACACACATACATTCATAATGACATACAGACATATACATACATACATTCATAATGGCATACAGACATACATACATACATACAGACTGATATACATACATATATACAGATATACTGACAGACATACATACATACTGACATACATGCATACAGACATCCATACACACAGGCATACGTTCATAATATGCATTCATACTGACATACATATATACATACATAGACATGCATACAGACATACATGCATGCATACAGACATACATGCATGCATACATACAAACAGACATGCATACATACATAGACATACATGCAGACAGACAGACAGGCATACATAGAAATATACACACACACAGAGCTCATTTTCCAGCCACCCTCCTGTTTCTTACCTTTACTTTGCAGGAGGGTGGCTGGGGCTGATGGGAGTAGTCGGCTGGCTCTCCCTCACTGCCTGGCTTGTGTTCCTACCGTGCGGAGTGAGCTGGGAGGAAGTGACCACTTCCTCCCAGCAGCACTTGCTGCGGCTGCTTTTTTTTTTTTTTAAGGGGCCCGGTCGCGCTATTGCACGGCCACAGCTCTGACCGGGCCACTGAAGATATAGAGCCCATCAGGTGGCCCTAAGTGCGTGGGCCACCCAATAGGCCCCATCAGCGGGCGGGTCCCGGTGCAAGTGCACCGGCGGCAGTTCCGCCGCTACACATGGGGCCCGGGCAGCCGGGCCCGTGACAACCGTTACACCCCCTGATGGCGGCCCTGATGCTCGGTTATAGCTAATTTTTAGCACTCTAGATGTTTTTTTTTTTTAAATATACCAGCCACAGCTAACCATCCCAACTCTAGCCGTATGTGTGTGCAAGGGGTTTGCTTAATGCAGGCCAAATTATTCTCCCTTTACTCTGTTTAGGTCTCTATGAGAACTTTTGTGCTGGTTTGCTTTTAAAGGGTAAAATGATGGCTGTCACCTGTTTATAAACTGATCAAAGAAATTGCATTTTGTATCTTGTTTCTTAAATTTCTCTTTTGAAACAAAGTTTAAATGGTAGTTTTCTCTGAGTGCACACTATTATTCTCCACACACTTATGAGTCTAGCTGTTGAGGAGGCTGGTGGTTATTTATGGGTAATGTCTGGCACTATAGCTTTCAACCACATCACTCTTTAAGTATCTTGATGTTCTTATTAACACAGCCTCTTCCGAGCATCATTGCCTGCAACATTTCGAGTTGCAATGGTTAGCCATTTATGCATTGATGCTAAGAAATCAGAAAAGATTCTGTGAGCACAGGAAGGAGAAATGCACTCATTTGTTTAAAGGAAAACTACTTTTTAGAAATATACAAGATAACAGAAACATCTAGTAAATGATATCAAGGACCTTATTAGGAGTACAGACATTTTTCAGAACATGTGTAACCGTTCTTAGAAGACTATCAGAGGAGTCCTTAATTGTGGGTAGTGGGGCAGTGTAATATTCATCAGGAAGAATGCAACACTCCAAGTTGGTCTACAATATCCTATAAAGGATTAGTGAGGTCTAGATATGGCTATTGAAGAGGTTTTGCCCAGCTGTGGCATAAGCTAACAAAATGTTTGAGACTGTTCCCCTTTACAGAAAATAATTCTGCGTTTTTGGCAAACAATGTACTTGTAATTTTGGCACTGATTATATGAGCTCTTTGGGGCTCTCTTAATTGTTGTGTTGAATTTGAAAATTTAATCTGTGCACAAAGCTGTTAAACCTCGTTAATAGCTCAAACATGCTGCTAATTCCCAACTATCATAATCTGATTAACCTGTGCAGCTGATTCGGCAATTTTAATTTAGTTTGAACAAAATTGAACTTTTATTCAATGCAAAGTTTCCATAATTATATTATTTCTCAACACTTAAATTACACTTCCAATATCATAACAACCAGAGCTCGTTATAGATGTTATGATGCAATATGATATGGGTGCCTTCTCATCATTCCTTTGCCAAACAATTTTAGGGGCAGTATGCAAAAAAATAATCTCTCTCTTTCACTCATAGACTGTAGCCCCTTCAGCTGCACTGATAATGCAGAATTACCATTCAGAATTAATTCTGTCTAATTTGTTATAATGGTAATCCCCTTTATAGTATAAAACTGCAGTGTGAAAAGAGTTGGAAGATGGGGTCAAATTTGTTTTGAAACCCAAGATGTGCAAATAAGAGATTTGAAAGTACGGTAGGCTCCATATTCTGCCATTGTCATCTGTTTGAAAGACTATACAATGTGCAGGGATTTATGCATGATAATATTTCAACACCTATGGAATTCGCAAGGCATCATAAATCTTGATAATCAATACAGTTGAGTAAATTTGTGAATGCTTTACTTGCCAAGTACAGTAATGCAATATTTATTGGCCAACCCAAGATAAGGTTAGCATTGCACCACTGGTGTATGTCTGTGTCTAGATTACAATAAGTAGCTATATAACTCAGATTAAACAAGGTCTCCGGGCCTATCTAGCTGATGGTACATTCCAATGCACGTCATTGAGGACTGATGCCCAAACGCATTGAGCACTGCACCTGCATCAAATTTCCTAGTAGGAAAGGATTGAATCAATGCTTTTCTATGAGCTGCATTTAGTCAAATGTCAATGTATAGGAAGTACCTCTAGAGGTTGTCAGGAAGACAGTCACTAGAGGTGTGTCTAACTCTACAATGTAAACATTGCAGATTCTACAAAAGTTCAAAGTTTTAAACCGCACCAAGACCATTTTATTCAGATGATGTGGTCTGGGTGACTTTAGTGGTCCTTTACAATTGTATCATACTGATCAGTGATTAAACGCGATATAATGATACTTCAACCAGAAATGAGATATTCCATGCTTTTATTGAAACACGAACACTGAATTTCATAATTCCATAAATACTGTCCAAGTTTTACTAAGACCTGTTCATGTGTAAGGGTAGCACAACAGTCCATTTATTTTGAGATATCACTAAATTAAATAGGAAGATATTGAGCTTTCTTGAAACAAGAAAACCATGACACATTTCCCCAAATGTTTCTTTGGAGCTGGCTGTGACCTCCATAAGTACCAACAGCATACTAATAAGCAGATTAGTATAGATGAGGTATAACAAATGAGTTTACTCTATAGTCCAGTATAGTTAAATTAGTGCCTGCGAGTAAGGAACTTTACACAGAACAGCAATGTAATTTCTGCATTCTAGAAAATTATGTATGAATTGTTTCTCCTAGCAAATGCACAGTATTGTGACGATGAGTTCAATAATTTTTTTTTCTAATTATTTATTAATATTTCCACAATGTAGTTTATTAAATATTACACATGTACTTGAGTTTGCCCATAGCATAAAAAACTCTTGATAATTTACTGCAAACAAATAAAACAAATACAATTGTTTCTTCCCCGTTAAAGTAGAGGAATAGTGCGAGCATTAGCAAATCAATCCACTTAGATCTGCTGTAATTATTAACCTGCTGTGTGTAAAGGTACAACTACACATATTTGGACTAACATGACCACCCCATGTTTTTTTAAGCCATATTTCATTTTTCACAGGCCATTTTCGATCACAGTCTCGCATTAAGCACCTGTGCAAAATTATCTGCTCACAGTTTTACCACCCATGAGTCGCAGCTGTACGTTCACTTGTACGCACATTAAACTCCTGCAGACTTTAGCTATTCTGCAAATTCTGTATTTGCTAACAAAGCCTTGCATACCTCCCCAGTCATTAATGGACTTGATTAATACACTTCACAAAGCTTGTTCTTGCTTTGTTTCTTTGTGTGCTGGAAAAGAAAAACATAAGGCAACTAAACATTGTTCTTTGACGTAAATTCCATCACCTTGATGGTGAGAAAAGAAAAGATAGCATAGCAAAGTATATGTAGAACACCTGCACTGCCTTTCATCCAACACATCACATATTGTTTATTGGTTCCAAAACGTTAATGACATTTAACATATATAAATAACTTAGTTTCTTTTCCTTGGGAGAAAACAGCATCAAAACTATTTTGCATATAAAGCATAATCAAGGTCTCGTTTGTTAAAAACCTTGAGTGAAATGTTTTATTCTACAAGTGTTCTAGTGCCATGAGCCCTGTTTCAATGTATTTGCAACACAAATATTGCAAATGTTATGACAACTTGTATCAAATCCATTTTAGGGAAAGACAAAGCTATGTTCCTTGGAGACACAGTAAAACGTATGCTAAATCCCTTTTATTTGCATCTCTCCAAGAATAAATAGGTTATGAATGATCTACCACAGATAACCTAGACGTAGAGCATGAACATGCATAAATTATTACATTTCTTCTTTCAAGATAATGTTTTCGTAGAACTGTAACCCAGACAAAAAGGGTCAATAAAATTGTGCACATTAAAAGCGAGCACTTGAGTTATAAGGACACTAATAGTAAGGAGATCTAATTCTAAACTAGCCATAGGTTCCTATTCAGTAGTTCCCCCATTTATTTGAGGATAAAAGCATAGGTACTGTCATTTCTAGATCGGACATCTAAAAAGGAGCAAAGGCATAATTAGTTAAGCAGAGACCAGGTGGGAGAACCAGAAGATAGTGCTTGGATGTTGCATACAGTTAGATGTCATGTACTCGGGTAAGACAAATCGAACATGTTGCAGGACTCATCAAGGTTGTCATCCACATTCAAAGTTTGCCAGAAAGACTTCTGCTTCTTCTGTAGCTCCTTTCTCACACACCTGGGACACGGCAGTGTTTTGACTTTACAATCGGAGTGGAATACAGCAGCACAATTTTCACACCTAAAGAATGGGAGGGGTGGACAGATATGGAAATTTCAGTGATGTTTTCCAAACCGAATACGTATATCATACAATAATTTGCAGTAGACACAAATTAAACATCAGTCATTTTGATTGCAGACAAACACGAGGCATATACATACAATATCCTTTTAAATTTTAGGTAAATCCAACATTGAGTAGAAAAGGACATGATAACCACTAGACACAAGTTTAGTAGTCTTTCATGTTTCACATAAGCAAAATAACAAGAAAGGTTACAAATGCTTACTTTGAGCTTTCTTATGTTCCCGATAGAGTGTGTTTGGTTGCACAGTTCCACTGCGATGACAATTTTATACTGGATATTAAGGTAAGATAATATGTTTTGGAGATTTTAATTTATCTGCTGATAAACCACACTTTTTTTCATTCTGTACCTCTATACATAAAACCTACATATATAGACAAAATTCTAACTAATTCTTTATAGATATATTGTATTCTACTAATTGTTTACGATAGTGTTATGTAATTATAAATAATTTAAAAAAAAATATTTGAAAAGAATTCTAACCCTGAAGTAGATGTGCCACTACTGTGGAGTAGTGATGTCCCGAACGGTTCGCCATTGAGTAAACTTTGACCCTTTACCTCACAGTCAGGAGACACATTCCAGCCAATCAGCAGCAGACCCTCCCTCCCAGACCCTCCCACCTCCTGGACAGCTCACTAAGAATGCAGCTTCACAATGAATGTAAAATGGATGCTGTCCAGGAGGTGAGAGGGTCTGGGAGGGAGGGTCTGCTGCTGATTGGCTGGAATGTGTCTGCTGACTGTGAGGTACAGGGTCAAAGTTTACTCAATGATGAGTAAACGGCGAACCGTTCGGGACATCACTACTGTGGAGTGTTCTTGACTTCAATAAATCTTAAAATTTTTATATATATTGTTGTTTGCCCTCATGTCACCCAGAGTTGTCCTATATTTTATTTTGTTTTGTAATTTTCTCTTTATATTTGGATCAGATGTTTAATGTCTCTTCTATGGTTCACAAAGCTTAAATTCTGTAACATCACAGCGCAGAAACAACGTTAGTTTAATGATGAGTTGATGAGTGGAATTAGGATGTCTATTTTATTCCTTTCAACTTGACAGATTTTAGAGTTGATTATCTTCCTTTTTGTAATAAAGGTACAAAACTCTCAGCGTGTTAGAAAACAGCTTTTATGGATGAAACTAATTGCCCTTCTTATATCTCAGGAATTCAGTCATTGACCTTAATACAGTCAGTGCTAATATCACATTAGAAGGGCTGTGTAAGTGCAAATACACCTCAGATTGTCTGTCTGTGTTATGATGCAGAGGAAATAGCTGTTAATTGGCTTTACTCTCTGTGATAGAAAGCAAATAGATGTTGCCTAGTGTCAAACCAGGGGTCTAATGGACAGTAAATAGACATCAATTTTCTTCACTGGATATAATAGGAAACAAATATTCCACAGTTTGCTCTATTACCTACAACAGGGATAAAATGGATGGCAATTTGCTGCAATTGGGACACTGAAATACAATAGTCCAAAGATGTAGACATGAAATTCACGTGTGCCTAAACAAATCGTGCCTGGCATGTAAATACAAATAAGTACTCAAGAAAGGAATTAAGGTCACACTTTTAATTATATTTATCCTTCTATGCCCTTTATTAGATTTACACTATATTTCCCTTGAAGAACATAAATTATTTTTATTAAAGGGATATTATAAGTGCCAGGAATACAATTATTCCTGGCACTATAGCTCCCTTTGCCGCCCTCCCTCCCCCCTTACCCCAGCGCTGATGTCAAGCAGTGTTGTGTCGTCGCTCCGTCTCCTCCAACGTCCTGCGCCGAGTGGGCGCTAATGCTCATGCACAGCTAATGTGAATGCGCAGCAAATTACACGTGTGCATTAGACCTTCCCATAGGAAAGCATTGAATCAATGCTTTCCTATAGGGAAAAATCTGATGCTGGATGTCCTCATGCAGACCAAAGGACCGTTAGGATCCAGGAAGCGCCTCTGGGAGACCGCCACTGGAGGCAGACTTAGTACTGTAATGTAAACATTGCAGTTTCTCTGGAACTACAATGTGTAACATTACTGCACTAAATGCAATAGGGACAATGAGCTCAAGTGGTCTGGGTGCCTACAGTGTCCCTTAAAGACACAATAAGAGTTGAAGTTTCCTCTCCATGCCTATGCCCTTCAATTGCACCTACTTAATAAATAAATGATAGATAAAATATATAGTTTTTATTTGAATTATTTTGGATCTCTGAATAGTAGTTAATGTCCTATTTCACTGTTTATATCATTCTGATGGTCTTGCAGTTAGGTTGATCCAATAATAAGAGCATCAGGTACTATCTTGTTATCTGGAGTTGTTTAGATTGGAAGGCACATTTTGATATCTCACAGCATATTAAATACTTTTTCTTAAAGGGCCCCCAAAATTATGATGTGTGACAAATGCAGTGCTAGAGTTATTTAACTCGAGGTTTTAACACCATTGTCCTTTCTCCTTATTTGCTCCTACTGTACGGAGATTTCAGTGGGGTAAACTGTAGTTGTACAGTGCATAGAGGTATTCTCTGCTTGCAATACATGCACAAGCTGTTTCCACCATTCATTTCATTATAAAAGCATTGTGCGTCCACATTCTACCGAGTTTGATAAATTAGGGCATTAAAGGGACACTATAATCACCATAACAGCTACAGGCTATCTGAAGTAAACATTGTCTTTTCAGAGAAAGGCAGTGCATTACAGCCTAGGAACATCTTTAGTGGTTACTCCTCAGATAGCCACTACAGGTGCTTCCTGGGTCATTACTGCACAGTCTGCTCTGCATGGAGACGCTGAGATTTCCTCATAGAGATCTATCTGTATGAGGAGATGCTGATTGGCGAGGGTGGCATTTGGCTCTGCCCCCACCCTGCCTCCTTGGCTGAGATCATCAGAATTGACAATCTCAGCCAATCCAATGTTTTCCTATGGAAATAAGGTAATATTTCACTCTATTTATGGGAGCAAGGAGGGGGCAGAGGACCAGGAATCCACGTTTGTTTTCCTGGCCCTATAGTGTTCCTTTAAAGGACCACTATAGTACCAAGAAAACAAACTCCTTTTCCTGGCTCTATAGTGTTAATAGGTCTACCCTCATGGCCCCCGTCCTGCTGGGTTGAAGGGGTTAAACACTTACCTTTCTCCAGCGCCGGGTTCCCTCTGCGCTGGGGAACTCTCCTTCTTCTGCCGAATGCGCATGCACGACAAGAGCCGCGCGTGCATTCAAAAATTATTTTGTAAAGCATTTTTCAATGCTTTCTTATGGACGTCAGCGTCTTCTCACTGTGAGACAGCCACGAGGGGCTGGATTAACCCTCAGTGGAAACATAGCAGTTTCTCTGAAACTGCTATGTTTTCAGCTGCAGGGTTAACACTAGATGGACCTGGCACCCAGACCACTTCATTGAGCTGAAGTGGTCTGGGTGCCTATAGTGGTCCTTTAAGCATGCATGCCTGTGGTGTTGTCGTCTTGGACGTGATATTTTATTTATTTACTTTTGAGACCAATTAGATTGACATGACATCCTTAACACTAATCCTTTCATGCCAATACTCTTTTGAAGAGCCAGGGATGGAGAAAACAATGGAACTGACATTCATAGTCCATATCCTATAATGATCTTCCAGGGAAAGGTACTGTAAATCAAGTTTATTGATTGATTTTATATAGCAATACATTACATAGGTCAACAATGTCTAATAACCAACTTCGGGGTGCATTCCAAACAACATATTTATAATGAGGAGTTATTAACAATGTTATAGAGATCACAATGAGACTACTCTGCTACTTTTTAATAGAACGTTATATCAGTTCTTATTAAAAAAAGTAAGAATTACTGGAAATAAAAAGTAATTTCAAATGACATTCAACTAGATCTACTTTATTAAGCTAAACTAGATGAACTTGAAAATTTTCCAAGTCCACTAGGCTTTCATTTCAGCTAAATTGGCCTTAAACTTGAAATTAGCTTTGAATTCATTTTGAACTATTGACAATTCTCATTTTAGTAAATAACCTTGTTAGCAAATTTAACGGCAAAATCTGCTTCAAAATTCACTCAAAGCACCTTTTTTTCTAATAAATAAAACCAAATATCCCCAAACATTCCCCACATGTTAAAGCATGCAAATTATGTTTGACTAACGATTACTCAATAACAAAGTAAATAGCAAATTAACTCTGCATCTACACTATAATATATTAAAATGATGAATACAGCAAATACGCAAGAGCACAATACTTGAAATGTCCGTTCAGAGATACCTTAAAACAAACAAACAAACAAACAAAACAAAAAACGTGCAATGTCAACACATAAATTAATCAAACCACAAAAAAATAAAGAGTGGGCACCAAATGCCAGTATTAGGTATTATATACACCACAGTACGGCTACTGAACACTGGTATTTGGTGCCCTCTGTTTCTGACGAGTTATCCTTGTAGTGGCTGCACTTCACCAGTTAACACTTTTTCTTTTCCTTGGTTTTTACATGATTATGATCCTTTTTCTTTTGGTTTACCATAAATTAATGACACATCTGTCACCTATTAACATCAATGAACTTGGCTGTCCACATCGGTGAAAAGCCCTCACTCATTTAAAAACAAAACAATTTTTGTCGGTACCGATGTGTAAATATCAAGTTCATAGAGAAGAATTTCACACAGAGCACAATAAATAGAAATTTTCACAATGCAACTCTTGATAAGATACAAAACAGAGACATGATGTATACTGTAAACTGAGACTGTGTATACCATTGACTGACAATATTTTTCTTCAAAGCTTCCTAGCACTGCTCAGATGTGTGTACTATTGCACATGAAAGTAAGCATGCTTTCTGTGTTTTGCTCTGCAGAACACGGACTTGCCCAATGTTGCTCAGACACCATAAACCTACAATCTAGTCATATCAGAAATAGCTTACTCCAACCACCATGTGAGCGTTACTTCAGTGATTTGACATGGTCAAGATGCTTGTAATCTGTATATGAATTAATTTAATACGAAATGCTATACATATAGAGATATTTAATGTTACTGCCGGAGCTGTAACTACACCTCTGGAAGCATCATTAGCCAGCCTGGAACATGATATTCTATATTCTATGCATTGACTGAGAGTGCTCAGCTGATGTTCTGCAGAAGCCAGATACGGCTTAGCCGCCACTGTGGGACCCTCAGCACCTGGCGAGACCCAGGTAAAAGAAACACCATTGTAACGGTTTGCCCCTTTACTGGGAGAGAGTGCCAGGGTACCTCTAACATCATACCTACCAGAATGCAATCCTTTCATCTACTTTTTTTTTTGTTCCGTTTTATTAGGAGTGTAAAACTAATATTAATTTATATTGGTATAGTGATATTCAATATAGTAAGAAAGTAGTAGAATAATGTATGAGAAGGTGTGAGTATGAGTTTTTGGTTAAAACCTCATTAATCAAGGCTTTATCTGCAAAACTTCCCAGAGTAGTGATATATAGAGAGCTAAATGCAGCTGTGCATGGATGTGTGAACATGGGAGAATGATTGATTTGTGTTCCTTACCTAGCACACCCTTCCTCTTGGCTGATGCCACTGTTAACCCACAGCTCTTATCAACTACTATTGGTACAATTGCCACCTATAAAATAGTAAAGCAGCTAGAGACACCTGCTTTCTATCCAAAGGTCTCTGCTCAGCAAAGGAAATAGAAGATAAAAGGTGAACTATTGCAAAATAA